CTCAAAGGCATCAGTTCTCCTTCTATCCTCCCTAGTCATTGTCCAACTCTCTGATGCATAACAAGTGATTGCAAAGACCATGCCCTGTATCAGGCGCACCTTAGTCTCCAGAGAGACAATGTTGCTCTAGGTTAGGAAAAAAAAGAACTCAGACCATCTGTACAGTCCTCAAAGAGCCACTATAGATACTACCCATGTCTACCTACATTTGAGGTTTATGACATCTTTGTTAGACTGATTAAGACATTCTCATTTGAAAAATGAGAATATAAAGGTGGTGATAAATTATTTTTTTTTAGGTCTTAAACTTCTAGAGCAGCGCTATCTAGTAGAATTATAGTACAAATCATATCTCTCTGTATGTCTGTCTGTCTATCTCCATCCATCCATCTATCCATCCATCCATCCTCCTGTCTACCGAGGCACAGCTGGTGGATTGGAACTACCTGGATTTGGGTTGGCAGTACGGTATCTTACCACTAGGCCACCAAAGAACACCTGCCCCTTTTAAAGTAGTCACATAGTAGGGAGCTCTCCAGGAGAAAGATGGGCAGTCTTTTCTCACGCTATTTTCTGCCTCTGAAAATCCAGTGGCAAATCATCTCTGCGTTGGTCTGACTCAACAGCATATAAAAACAACTTAACAACAATCACATAAAAAGGGAACCATGAAATGAATTTGAGTGTTAACCTAATATAGATAAATTTCAATTTATGGCATAAGCCACATTTTAAGTGCTCAGTAGCAACGTGTGGATAGTAGGTACCATATTGGTTTGCACAGATCAGGAACTTTTATTAAGAACTCACTAAAAAGATTTAGAGGGTGTATGCAAGAGATGGACCATGTATTTGACAAAATTTATTTTCTAGGAGGTGAGTCAAGCCCCTTAAAATATTTTCCCTTTGGAATGATTTCTTATAGAGACCTTTAGGAATCAACTGCCTATTTTTTTTAAGTCTGTGAGAACATTTCTAAACCTTCATGTTGGGTATTTAAGAGTCATTAACCCATGTATGTAAAAGTTTGTCACTCACCCCGTTTCCCAGCCCTCTTGAAAACAGCGATGATTTTCCTACTCGTATGTGAGGATGAAATAAATTTCAGAAGGATCCTACATCCCAACAGGACCTAGGAAAATTGTCAACTGAGGTTGAGTGGTTTGAGTTGGTGAACAATTTTTTAAAAATTAGTGACAAAAATATAGAGCTGCCTGGGGAGTACAATGCCTGTTGGTTGAGATTAATGTCAAGATTAATAAATGGATAGCTTGATGAAAAGGCACAGGAGAACAAAAACCAGTAGAGATTGTGGAGGAGGCCACTTATTAATGGACTGTCAGCCCAGAGAAAATTCAAGAAACTCTGCTGTGGTAAATGCAGAAGGCTGGCACTTCTAATAAAAATCGAGGTCCTTCAGGAATTAATTACACCAGCCTTACAGCAAGAATTCATGGAATTGCAAAACATAGTGGCACAGACCAGCACGGGCCACTGCTGCAAACGGGGAAGCTGCAGGAGAAACTAATAATTTTTTTCATTCATATGTAGGATATTGTGGCAGCATAATAGCTACTCTGACGTGGGGATGAATGATGGGGTCCAGATACACACTGGCTAATGAATCTGCACATACCTAGAGCTGGAAGTCAGTTCACTTTTCATATGCAAAATTCCCTCCTGCAATCTGATTTCCTCCGTATGCTGTGTACCCACCACCAGGGAAGTTCCAAATAATTTTCCAAAGCAATTACATGAGAGGCCGATCGACTCTACTATGATTTATCAAGCTATACGGAGAGTGAGCAGAGTGTTAGTTTATCCCAGATTGCTGTAATTCCCCTCACCACATGCCCCACCCCCTCACCCAGCACAGCCCCAGTTTGGTTCACCTGACAAAATGCTCTTTTAATTGAAATTTGGTGTTGCCTCTGCCCTGACAAGAGGGAGATTGTCCAGGATTTGTGATCTGATGGTGCACATTAGACAAGAAGAACGCCTTATCTTCTTTCACGTCTGCAGTAAAGGTAGAGTGAAAATTTTCTTAGACCAAGGGGTCCCAGACAAACCATTAATCTTGTAGGTCTCAAATTTCATAATTAACCATTTCAGCTCAGGCCTAAATCTACAGAGCTTGGTAATTTAGTCTATTTCTGGAAATAGATTTCTGTGTTAGTTTCCTACAAAAGAGAAATACAAAAGGCAAAGAACAACTTTTGGTTGGTTAATATGTTGAGGTGCTTCAGGATCTTAATGTAAATGAAGAGCTAATCACTCATTGTTCCCCTTCAAAGAGCATTAGAGAATTAGGTTGGTTGTTGTGTTTTTTTTTTTAAACACTGGACTCCATTTGATTTGTTTCAGGATTGTAAAATATGTAATGATTCCTTCAGTTGTATGTGGAGTTTATTCTCTTTCTTTTGCTTGCCACATCCTTGGGTCTTAGACCATTTATCACCCATCACTCCTTGACTTTTCAGACCCTCATAATCTACATGATACGTATCCTTTTGATTAAAACAACTTAATGGCCTTTTCACGAATAATTAATCTGCTCTTTTTTATTTTCAGCTCCAGGCTTTTAACTTTAATGTTGAGTTATCCAGCCTGTGTTGCCTTTCAAAGTTTCACTCCCTTTTAGCCTCTTCCCCTCAAAGGTTTAATACCTCTTCAGAAATTTCAGTGTTTGCTGTACTGATTTTTTTTTTCTATTAAAGCTTCCAAATTACTCTCTCACCCTTCCTGCTGGATCTGAAGTGAGTAACTGTGCAGAGATCAGAGGGAATGAAATGAAAATAGTTTCAGACTCAAGTACTCTGTTCTACCAGAAAACGTGGAACCATTTATATTAACGAAAAGTGAAAACTGCCTTGCTTAATGGAAAAAGAAATGCTTATTATTATTACTAATTTTGCGTGTGATTCTGTATCTCTAACTTTGTCTGTTTTTTTTACACAGTGACAATTTATACCAAATGACCTCCCAGCTTGAATGCATGACCTGGAACCAGATGAACTTAGGAGCCACGTTAAAGGGGTAAGGTCTTCTCTGCTCCATTGTCCTTAAATAGTATCTTATACTTGTTCGACTTATGAGGAGAGGACCATTTTAGAATGGGCATGGCTGTAGCATTCAGATGTTTTCTTCCATCTCCCAACTGATAGGTTATATGTAATTACATCTTCAGGAATATGAATACGAGAATGTTTCTGTCTGGACTAGAGGAGTTGAGAATAATGAGAACACTTAATATGATCTTCTCTTAATAGTTTGGAGTTCTTTAAAGTTGCATCTGTTCAGCTTTACTCAGTGGTTGGTTTGCTAGCAGTATTGTGTGCCATCTTATCAACAGTAGGGTAACTGTTATGCAATCTCATTAAAAAACTGCTTGACGCGTACCAAGTCTCGGATGCAAATTCATATTTGAGTAACGGCCAGAGTCAGACATGCTAATATCTATCTACCCACTCAAGACAATGGGATTTCATCACAGTTAATGTAAAACTACAATAGGAAGATTACAGCTATCAAATAGAGGGAGGGGCTGCACTTCTCACTTGAATGTAAAAAAGACAAGTAAATGAGACTTGATTTCAGTAGTAAAAGAACTCAATCTTTGTGTTCCAAGTCTGAGGACACAGGAAACCGGATATAACACTTCTGAAGTACCTGCTATGTGTAACTTGCTCTTCCAGATTGCCTCAGTTAATCTTCCTAATATATTATGAAACATTGGGTACTGTTTTCTTAGTAATTCAAGCTCAGAGAGTTAAGTAACAACTTGAGCTCCCTGTAGCTAGTAAGTGTCAGAGCTTGGATTCCAAGCTCAGATTGGATTTCAAAGGCCAGGCTTTTTCCAGCTCCACTGTAGTGCCTTCCACCCCTCATCAGTCCCAGAGGGTCAGCACTCTTGACTAGATACATAGTGTCCCATCTCTGTGTATTGAGCAGCTTCTCATAGGAATTCTGGGATCTTGGGAGGCTTGCCAGAGCCTCTATGCTCCATTCCCCATTTCCCACCTCTTCTTCTCTTCTAGAGTTGCTGCTGGGAACGCCAGCTCAGTGAAATGGACAGAAGGGCAGAGCAAGTGAGTGGACAATGCGGGGATGGCAGAGCAATGACGTAGGCCTTGGTGGCTGGCATCTGGGCGAAGCAAGAGTTAGGGCTGATGATGGGTAATCAGGGCAGCAGTTGGTGCTACGGGGATGGAAGGAGTCTATTCAGCCCTTTCTCTCTTTGCCTCTTCTTGTTTATCTTAGATATGCTATGGGAGAAAATAGAGGTGTGACATTTATCATCAACCTAAACCTGAAACAAAGTTTTAAAAAAAACCAATGCAGTGGGAAACCTGCTCCTTCATGAATGTTTCACAAAATTCTAAACTTGTGACATTACATGTTTCTGTTCAGACTGGTCAAGTCTTAGGACCATACTACTTGCATATTTTGCTGTTTACCTTTATTACTTTGTTTGTTTACTTGCTTAGCTTCTTTTTATTATTTTGTCTCCCTCCCCCTCCCTTCTGCTTATCTTTAGATCTCTCAAGGAGCACCTAATTTTTACCCTAAGTTCAGGACTTACATTGTTGTTGAGCACCATTAAGTTGGTTCTGACTCGTGGCAACCCTGTGTGTAACATGCCATCCTCACAGCCACTGTTGTGCTTGAGCCCATTGCTTGGTTTTACAAAGACTTTTTGTTTTTCACTCCTAAATATTTGCTGTTTTCTTGCTCCTATTAGCCTTCACCCTGAGACATTTCTATGACTATTTGTCTTGGTTTCATTGTCTCTGCGTAAATGCCCGTCAGCCTCCTTTTCTTTCTGTCTTTCCTTTTTCCTTTCTTGCTTCGATTGGCCCAGTCCTGATTCTTGGCTCATTCTTTCATGGTTGCCAGAGTTGTTTTGCATCTTTTAATACTTGCTCTTAATCCTTCACTCCACCTCCCTTGCCTGAAAGTCCCATCTTTTTTAGGAAATATTAATTTCCTCTCTCTGGACCCCAAATTAAAAAGCCTTCTGAAGTGACTTTAAATTATTTTTACCTCCTCTTTCATATGAGAAACTGCTGATAATTTTGGCATCTATATTTCTCCTTACTGAGGCTTCTTAGCCTCCTGACCCACCTTTTTCTTTCCAAACCCTCCTTTCCTCTTTTCTTGTCTTCCTTCTCCTCCGCTCAGAGATCATGCTCTACCCACTAATGTCAAGAATAGATGGAACATGATTGTGAAGTGAACAATACATTTCCGTTTTTAAAGTTTACCATTCTGGAGTACAGGGTTGGTTGGTTTGTGTGATTACAAAAATAATAGATAAAGGAACCTTGGCATGTGTTTCTGTGAGAGTCTTGACAGAGTTGAGATAAATTTTGAAACCTTTCAAGGTCTTTTCATTCGTCTCACTGCTGTTTAGTAGGGACCAACCCATAGCTGCCCCTCCAGCAGGTTTTCAGGGGCTGTTTACCCATCTCTATCCCACGAAGTGGCTGGGTTAGAACTACATATGTTTAAACTGTCAGTACAACTCCTTACACACCAGGCCAGGTGATATTAAGTCACTTGCTGGGAAGTGAGAAGCCAGAGGCACAAAGTTTGAATAATTTATTTGTTCAAACCTATGTGAGTCAAACAAACAGACTAAAAGACTTTGAATTGTGTTATTGTTTATATGTTGAAAATGGAATTCTGAAATAAAAATATCTTTCTTGAAATATGAGGCTTAATTCACATGAAAAGGATCAGAGGATCGCAGCAGAATAGACACTCTTTGGAGAACTGAAAACAATAGTTCTCTAATTGCAGTAACTTTTGCTCTAATGACGCAGTGGTAAGGAGTTGTGCTTCCCAATCCAAGACAGTTGGTTCGAATACACTAGCTAATCCACAGAAGAAAGATGGGCAATCTCCTTTCAAATGATTTTCTTCCTCTGAAAACCCACTAGAGGGTCAGCTGTGAGTCAATGCCAGCTCAGCAGACTGCAATGACAATTTGGTAACAGGTTACATACACACTATGAATTTATCTCTGTAGTACGTACTGTTGGCCAAAGGTCAACTAATTTCTGTTTCCACTTTGTCAGTTTGACTTCTTTTGAAGGAGGGATATAAATGCTACTGGCCCTTGTTGAGGAGCTTTGCATACCTTACCTGAACTGATCTGACCGTGACCCTAAGAATACCATGTTCACATCCAGTTTTAAGAGGAGATTGAAGAGATAAAGCAAGCTAGCCAAGGTCATGTAAAAATTACGTGGCTGAGCCATGTTGAAATCCCCTTCTGTTGGTCTTCAAGACTTGGAACCCAAATTAAAGTTTCTCAAACATTTTAGACTGTGATGTACAGATAGAAATACCTATTACGTTAAGATTCAGTATGCACACATGTGTACTGTTCTAGTGAGAAGAAACCCACACAATTTTATAAGTCTATTTAAAATAAAGAGGGTTTATAATGGCAAAAGAATGTCTTGCAAAACAAGGCAACACAAAGTCAAAAGTCATTCACAAAGTGCTCTCAGGCTTCAGAGTTGCAGAAGTTAATAAAGAAGAAAAACACAGGTAGGGGTATAGTTGGGGTATTTTTGGCTGTTTAACATGTACAAAGTTGCACTGTGTAAGCATCTTGGTATCTAGGCATTTGTAATCTGTGTTAAATGGAATTACTTTATGACTATGATCTTACTTTTGAATATGAAAACAAAACATTTATTGAGGGAATAGGATGGCTACATGTGAAAATGCTAAGTATTCTTATATTGAACTGGAGGACAAGAGGTTTTGGTAGAGGAAAGTGATATTTTATTGCCATCAGCTTATTCTAACCATAACTTGAGCCAGTTAGAAAAAGGTTTGGAAAGTTATAATTAGCGTTGAGGAGGTCTTTTTTTTCTAAATAATAATGTCTCGTATTTATTTAGATGTCTTCTTTTTTTTAGTATTAATTTAACTTTTTAAATTAATTTTAATGAAAATTTACAAAGACTTTGGATTTAGATTCATTCATTGTTGCACTTTTCTCGATCGTGAAAGTCATGTGTTTAGCCTCTGACAAGTCAAATAGTTTTTCAGCATCAGCTGTTTTTAACCATGAGCTAATCTATAAGTAGAGTAAGTGGGACAAAATGACACTTCGATGAAAGCTGCTTGTATCTAAATTAGAGGTATGATGGAGCATTTTTACAGAAATGACAGTCTGTAGTAGATGACAGTACAAAGTGGAGTCACTTAGGGCAAGGAGAGATTTGGCTTCTACCTTAGCCAGAGGTCCCCCTGTCTTGAGAGCCTTAGTTTAGGAATGTTCTTTTTTACAAACACACACAGTACAAACAGATGGCTTTGCCACATGCTGTACACTGTGCTATCCCACCTCTACATATGTCATTCTAGAAATGCTGGTTGTGACATGCCAAATCAGTTTTACAACTTACTGATTTATCGTGGACTCACAGTTTGCCTCTTTTAACACTTAAAATAAGACCATTATTGTAAAAATAGAGGGCTACTTCCTAAGACATATATGGGAACCTCAAGGGGGAAAGGGCTGAGGATGGGTAGGGCTGAAAACCACTGGGTTGCACAGTTTGGTGTGTGGAGGGGGAGAGAAGGAAATGGGGAGGATCCCGGGAAAAAGACAGGGTAATGATGGGCAAGCTCCAATGGTGATTAATTTTATAAGACATAATGCATGAGAATGATTATATAAAACACAATGTGAATGAAAAGTAGTGGGAAATGCAATGTATGCAAACTTTGTAAACAAACCAATTTTTTTAAAAAAAGCACTCCTCAGCTCTACCCTTTAAGGCCAGTAACAACAGAGGGACTGGATTCATTTGAACTGAAAGTTTAATGTAGGTGGATATAGTAAGATACTTGAGTTCCTTGTGTTCATCTTTACTCCCTACCTAAGAAAACATCATCATCGTCATTCTCTATGATACTGGATTTATGCTCTTCATCCATTCTATTAAAATATACTTGAAAAAAGATACCCCATAAAGAAAGACCAAAAGACTTTTTAATTTAATCCATTACAAATGTCGTGACACTACTCTAAAAAATACGGCAACAAGGTATCATCCATCTACAACAGGAAAACTGGAGATAACAGATCATGTTTTATGGGAGGAGAATATCATTTCTGTATCACTCATGAAATGAGGCATTTCTAGTTTTTCTTTTTTACAAAATTAGGTACTCCAGACAAAATTTTACTAATAGATGGTATACCAATTGAAGTATTTCAGATAACAGATGTTGCCCTGGATGTGCTCACCAAGTTGTGCCAAGAAATCTGGAGAACGACCACTTGGCCAACTGACTGGAAGAGATCTATATTTGTTCCCATTCCAAAGAAAGGTGACCCAACTGAGTGTGGAAACTACAGAACAGTGTCATTGATTTCACATGCAAGCAAGATTCTACTGAAGATCATCCAAAAACGATTAGAACAGCACATCAGCAGAGAACTTCTGGAAGTTCAGGCTGGGTTTAGAAGGGGTCGTGGTACTAGGGATATTGTTGCTGATGTTAGATGGATCTTAACTGAAAGCAGAGAATACCAGAAGAATGTCTATCTGTGTTTCATTGATTATGCAAAGGCATTTGACTGTGTGGATCATAACAAACTGTGGCTGACTCTGAGAAGAATGGGAATCCCAGAACATTTAATTGTGCTAATGTGAAACCTATACTTGGCCCAAGAGGCAGTAGTCAGAACAGAGCAGCGTAACACTGCATGCATCCTGTCTCCATACCTTTTCAACATGTATGCAGAGCAGATTATCCGAGAGGCTGGGCTCTATGAGGAGAATTGTGGCATCAGGATTGGTGGAAGATCTACCTACAATCTGCGTTATGCAGATGACACAACCCTGCTTGGTGAAACTGAGGAGGACCTCATGCACTTGCTGTGAAGGGTCAAGGACTGCAGCCTTCAGTATGGACTGAGGCTCAATGTCAAGAAGACAAAGATTCTCACCACTGGACCAATTGGTAGCGTCAGGATGGATGGCGTAGAGATTGAGATTATTCACAGCTTCAGTTTGCTCGGCTCCACAGTCATCACTCTTGGCACCAGCAGTCAGGA